TTCAATTCCTTTTTGGTGCCTCTAATGCCTATTTTAATTGAATATCTACAGGTGGTATAAAAAAAAGTATTGAAGATCTCTGCCATCTGTGAGACAAATAGCAGAACCAAACATTCCAGCACTGTTCAAAGAGGATTTCTAAATACATTTTGGTGTTTTGGTACTGTGTCATAGGTGACGCTAGGTTCTATTAGATCTCTTTTTGGGCGCCGGAATTCAGTATAGGTAGAGTTGCCTATCTTTAGTTAGCATACATTAAAATCAATGCTAGTATTTTTATGTACCTACCTCAAAATGTGGAAAGTGCTGCAAATAATAAAAAACTTACAGGTATCGTTTTCAGGAATCAGATCTGGTAAAGGCCATGCTCTGTTGAGAAGTACCAGTTCAGGCAATATTTCGTTTGATGTATTCGTAACTACTGAAGAATTGTCTGCTGGTGTATCTTCATCAACGTTAACGCTAAAGGCGAACATTATCACTAAACCTGCAGCCAGTATTGACCTAAGAATACAAATCCGTGAGACTACATATTACAATATCATCTATCGAAAATATGACTGCGGATGTCTTAAATTCTATAGGATTATATGCAGAACTGAAAAATGGCCCGATCAACTATCCTCCAATTATAAATTTCTGAAATTTTGTGCAGAAACAACTATTGGCCAACGTAAACTTGAACAAATGTTCTCGGGTAGATTAGTGCGAAAAAAACGTTTCATATTAAATTTACGTTACGCTCATGTTATCCTTCAAGACATTAAGTATTTTGCCTATTGGTAAAAACTACGAATACCTTGTGATTTATCACTTGAGATACACTTGAGACTTAACAGTGAGGTTGGCCAGATAAGGAAATTGTATACTGTAAATATTATCCTACCCCTGATAGGCACAAAACTTCTTTCAATACTTTTTTTGGAAAGCACTTACAGCATAAGGGTGTACATACAGCATTGAAACTGCTTAACTCTCTTCCTGCGTTCCGTCAAAAATGTCTGATTGAAGGTGGTATCTGGTATAGTATGATGAGCCAATAATCGAGTGGATTCACTAGCTTGGTGGGTAGTCATGTTGTCCAGTTTTCGGCGAGAACCACTAAGGACTACCAATTCTGAGTTACGATCTAGATTCTTAATGTTAATACTATTTACATATTTTTTCTTAAAAAAATACTGCAGGTCCATGGAAAGTTATAGTAGCTACTTGAATTGAAACGGCCTTTTTGCATTTTTATTTGTTCTATATTTCCCATGAACACTCAAACAACAAAATCACAAAACAAAATAATACGCAGCAAAAGTAGGAACATAAGATGAATTACGAGTTTTCCGCGATTCTGCAAATTTATTATTATTCATACGTAATTCTAATTTAGGTTTAGTTCTGAATTGGTTCCGTCAGGATACGAGGGATGTCTTTTAAGTTTTGCATATGGAAATAAAACAACACGGTAGGTAGTTTTAAATGACTTTCTTGTTTTTCGAAGTATTCTCCACGAAGATTAATACACATCTGCATGCGCTCGAACCAATTTTCGAAGCACTTGTTCCACTCGTTTGGTGGCAGATCCAAAACGGCATTTTTGAATACGTCAACTGCTTCTTCTGGTGACTGGAACCTTTGACCATGCAGTCTGTTTTTAATTTTCGGGAAAGTAAAGAAATCGTTAGGACTTAGATCGGGACTATATGGAGGATGGTCCAATAATTCCACGTTTTCTTCCGTTAAATACTGTCTTGTTTTTTGGGCTGTGTGCGAGCTTGCATTGTCTTGGTGGAGGATGATTCTTCTTTCGGGGTAATAGTTCTTTGCTCATTAAGAGAAATTGTTACAATATGACCCGCTTTTGACACAAATGTCGCGACCATCTTTTTCGAAACACTTCGAGAACGGATGACTTTTGTTGGCTTTTCTTCACCTTGGAACACCCAAACAGCCGACTGTCGTTTATTTTCTGGTTCATAACAGTAAATCTACGATTCATCACCACTAACAATGCTGTACACATTTTTTGAGTTTCCGGAATTGAAACGGTCAAACGTTTTTTGACACCAATTAACCCTGGCTGCTTTCTGCACCTCAGTCAACATGTGGGGTATTCAACGAGAAAATAATTTTCTTACTCCTAACTCTTCATATAAAATTTTTTGAATTGAGTTCATTGAGATGTTCAAGGACGCGTCCATCTCGCGATATGTCACGTGTCTATATTCAATGATGAGTTTGCGCACAGCATCGACGTTTTCCTGGGTGACTGCCGTTTTTGGTGCACCCACCCTGGGATCGTCGCTAAGATTCACTTGTCCACGTTTGAATTTTCCATACCAACGGGAAATTGTCGACCGATGTGGCGCTTCGTTGCCGAAAACAGACAGTAACTCAGCAAGGCATTCTTGTTGCGATAATTGTCTCTGAAAGTTGTAATAAATTATGGAGCGAAAATGACTTGGTGACACTTAAACATTCACTGTAGTGAGAACACTGCACGTATTGTTGTGAAACTTTGAATTTAAGTTTACTAAGGAGTGAGGTTAAGATTCAGTACTGACGTTTGATCCGCGCGGCCTACTATGTTTCTATATGCAAAACTTAATAGACATACCTCGTATTGGGCAGTGATGGCCACGTCATGACAGCGATTTTATGAAATACATTTATCTGCCCAACGTTGCTTACATTTCACAAACATGTAGCTTTAAAATAATCAGCATCTTTTCGAATGTAATACTTTCATTTACCTTTATATCATATTAACATTGTTTTAGAGATGTGTTATTCTTGTAATATGAAATATTAAAGAACAAAACAAAAACAAAATTCTGAAAAATGTAATGTCAAAATGTGGTTAGAATTTTAATTCAATATTGTCGCTAATAAATATCACAGAGTGTCTTATAAGATAAATCTGATAGTCCATAACTTCGATATTTTTTGTTTGAAGCGTCAAAATAAGAAAATCGTGATGTATTTTATTGAATTATATATGGAATCTTTTTCTCTGTCATCGATCTGCCTCCAAAACCAAAATATCAAAATGTCATCCAACACATAAAGACTGGGCGATCTTCGGAATGACAGTCGATCGGTAGGTGCTGAACGAGAGGAACGTGTCTGTAGCTGCGAAGCTATGAACTGAATTTTTTAAGCAAGAGATAGATACGTTAATTTGATTAAAATATGTGATATTCGTGCTATTAGTTTCATTATGAACAAATTGAGATACGAGAGAAAGTATTTATCGGTGAATAAATAAAAAATTGCAAAAATCTGTCTCATGAAGTTAAGTTCAGTTAATTTTTTATTGTCCCAGGTTACTCCCGAAATAAGGTTATTTCAATGAAATTTATTGCTTATTATTATAATTATATAATATAAATCTAATGAAAAAAAAAGGGGACAAGAAGGTTGACTGCGCACTTTCCACGCAACGCCCTTATCAGTACACAACTAGACCATCTGAGAAAAAAGTCAGTCATATAGGTCCATACAATTAGTCCAAAGACATTCTTTCCCTGTCCTACCGGTAGTACATCGAAACGTCGCCACTCCCCGATACCTAACTCAGGCAGGCGTGGTAGCGTAGAGATGGGGCCTAAAATTACCAATGTTGGGAGCGAATAAATGTACCATCAAAACATTGAGATAACCCATCCTCAACCCCTTACCACCCCACCCCCAAGTTTTTTTTTACTCAGTTTTTCTTTCAAAAATTATCAGGATTCTCTGAAACGTCAAAAAATAGTTTGAACGGTTTTTACTTTTTTCGTTTTTGGCCTTTTTCTGTGCCTCCGCTGGACGATTTTCAAAAACTGCAAAGCTTTTGCGTCCTTGGAATTCGACGGAAAAGAATAAAATTGTTTTTCGCGATAAACATGGCATATAACATCCAAAAAACCATAACTCATTTTCGAAATTTTTTTCGATTACAATACTTCCGCTTCAGTAGACATGGGAAGTAAAGGTATAGTGTTTCTTTTGATCCAATTTCGGTATATACTCATCAGTCATCTTCTAGATAGAGTTTAAAGTGAGGCTCAGTTTGCATAAGTTAAGGAAAACTCAAATATGCGTACAAAGTATACTTTTTTGTTTTTACTTGAATGAATACATCCCTTTTTGCTATAGCTATTGAATACATGGTACTAATTTCTCAATAAATATCTTCTCATCATTCACAACATTTCTAATGTAAATCGAGAATATTCTGTAGCGAGCGCAATGTTACAGCTTAAATTTTGTTTCATATGGCTGAAGTCGTAGTAGCTCATTTTCAGAAGACAGGGAGGGGAAAAGTTTTGGAAAATCAGCTCTAAATAATTTTTTAGCGACTCATTTTATTAAACCACGTACTAACCGTAACAACTGCTGCATTTGGCCGAAATGCATAAAAAAGTATAAGTAATCTTGAATTTGGTTCTCTTAACTACCTCCTTCCACATAATTTATTTTTATCAATTGTTAATTTTCTGTTTTTCATGCCGATGGTAAAAAATGTACGCAGTACATTACCGTATGACGACCCAATTTGCGTCCTCAGTTAAATTTAACAATTGCAACGTTATTTGATTCCTTCCGCAACAAAATATAATAAAAAGTTTACAAATACTTACGAATTGATCTAATTTTTTTATAAAATATACACAAATGAGAAACACACCCACTGTTAGTTCAGCTATTTCATACTGAAAGGAATTGTAGAAGGAAATCCATATCCCAAAGCCAATCAGGCATAACGAAAGGAAACCTTATATCTTCTGTTTATGTAGATATAGGTACACCTCCTCATGTCGGCTAGAGGTAATTGAATATTATGTAGGAAATTGATACATCATATAATAACTATCAAGTGAGGTATAGATTCCATGTTCTTATGTGTTTTCATATCGTTTGACAGATTTTTTATACGAAAAAGTAGTGCTTAGACTATTTACGTATGACAGATAGCATCCTAAATACCGTTTTATAATGCTTTGTTTACATAAAATGAAAAACATTTTTTGTTAGTTTGCTTTATTATTTTATAAAAAACTTGATTACAGTAAATCCGATACAAAATTAAAAAATATATGTACATCAAAACTAGAAATAACTCAACACAAATTATGTAGCTTATTTTACATAATAAATTATATACATTGAAAATTGTGCTTAAAGATTAATACAGTGTAGGTACGAAAAAATAAACTTACGTGCCTTACTAACTTTTACTATCCTAATAAATCTAAATGAAGGAATCATCAGTGTTCGAAAAATATAGAACAGAAAATTTGTAATCTTATATATATATTCTATAATTTCTGGGTTTTTAAGAGCCAATACTCTCAATTTTGATCGCACTATACAGCTAAAAAAATGGTATAACCCAAGTTAATCACTTTTTCAACAAAATTTTGAGAGTCTATGACGGATAAAGTTCTATCTGTTATTTTACAATCTTCTATAAAGAATAGATTTATATTTACAATAATCACGTTACAGTCTTATTGTTACATTACCTAATTCGACATCAAAATGTTATGGGAACATTATGTTTAGGTAAATGATATTTTTACTACAAACTATGTGAGTCTATTGAAGTGGGTTTTATCAGTGGTGTTGCCATTAAGCTTTTATGTTATTGGAATTTACTATTATTTTTTATGGAAGATATTAATCAATATTTTGTTTTGCATTATTTTTTGATTTTTGTTATCAAACACAGACCAGCTCAATAATTTTGCAATTTATTTGACACCTCCTAATTCGGATGTTCAAGATTCACCATTTTTATTGGACGAATAACATCATTACTTAGATATAGCAACATCATGTTCATGGTGCAGATACTATAAATCATATAGATGTGAATATTGAAACAACCGCCTTCGTTATCAAGAACTTAGCACCGAAAAACAACAGCAAAGGCAATAAGTATCGATCACACCAATCACACCACGATGACATGATCATGATACTTATCAGTTCAGCGCACACCGAAGAACGACGAGGAAGAGCATCGCAAAGGGCTTCCCTCCCAGCAAACAGTGGACTATCTATGCGAAAACCTTACAACAAAAAAAACCAAGAAAGTAACTAGGGTTAATCAAATTTGTTATTTATTTCAAAGTTAATACCGCAAAACACTAAGTAATCAATGGAAACAAAAACTTTAAGGGTGACGTGTCTATTACATTAAAAAAACGATAGATAACGTCATGTTCGCTTGTCGCTTTGGGGAGCTGGACGTCCTTTTGGGAGCGGAAATATCTACCCCAGACGATCCTGAACTTTTCTGGTTTTACGCGGTGCCAACTTAACATGACCTTTCAGACTAATGTAGTTACACAGTGTATATGAATGAAGAGGAAAAAAGAAGCTAATTACCTGGAAGACAGATATAAACAAAATCTACTGTCAGTATGGTCCTTGTACTTGGAAAAAGGCTATTGTGATGGCTGAAGGGTCGTGCAATGAACAGAAATTTAAACATATGTACGTGTTTGATTCGGCCCGACTATGGAGTCCTATGAACATGAAAACTGTAGGATAAGTTTCAGGAGTTACATTAAAACATTGCTAATGCTACCTTTACCATTGCATTATAATCAAACCTGACATTTGTGATAAATCATTCGTCACTCCTTTCTTAGGACCAAATTTAAGAAGTTCTGTATCATTCGTTGTATTTTGCGATGGAAAATTTTAAACACCTGAATATGAATCATAATAAGGATAATGTAAAGCCTGAAACTTATCTTGTTGTCTGCATGTTGATAAGACTCCATTGTCCGATACCTAAATCAAACGACATATAGCCAGTTTACTGCAAAATAAGATCACGCATCTGAGTCCAATTGGTAGACTTAGATCGAATTTGTCATTGAAGTGACCGTGAAACGACCTTTAAATGCCCCCAGGATGACTAAATGACCTCTGGATCCGACTCGGAAAAAACTAAATGATATGTGGTTGATTGAGCTCAAGCGCTTGGCTTCTTTTGAAGTGATCTTCAAAGAGACGAATTCCGGATTTGATATCGTATTTTTTGCCAGGTTTTGGGCCTCTATGCGGCAGCTCACCCTTGAGAGAAAAGTAGATCGACCACCATGCTTACGGATGTATCTGTGGCTTAGCACTTTGGTGATTTTGCGGAATGTTGACCACAAAACATATATGTACACGAAAAGTACGACAACTTGGAACAATTTGCCTGTAAATACGTGATGTAGACGCCCTTCGATACTCCAGAAGATGATTCTTTCTTGGCATCGAAGAGCATGACATGGACTTTCTCGGCCAGAGATTTGAGAACTCTGGGACATTTTTACTGTGATAATCTGGTGTAATACGCACGATGCTTGTAGTGTTGAGTGTCGTGGAATTTTTCTCCATCAGTGTGCGCTACCAGGAGGGAAATCCTTCTACACGCTTCTCATATCGTCTCGCGGTGTTCAGTAACTTTTGTTCAATTTTGTCCGAAAAGGTGAGCAACCGGCTACAAAGATCAAGCTTCAGGCACTTCTCACAATTCATTAAACCACAGGTCTACAATGAAGTCCCACTATATGTTCGCCTGCTAAACACGAATCTAAGGTCAGAATTGGCGAGTGGATGGATAACTATGAAAGTGACTTCGACATCAAGATTATAGATTTTGGTGGAGGTGCATCTCTGATGCAATATGTATATTTACTATTTTATATTGAAGCAGTCTGGAGGCTTGCTGGAGGTTACAAAGAGAAACAAACAATAAAGGGAAAAAAATGAAGCAGAAATCCATTACACAGATAATTCGAGGACAAACGTGCCAAAAAATCACTATATTATGGATTTTATCGTCTTTATGGGTTTTCTATAAAATTTGTCCATCGACTCCCAATGGGAAATATGCATGTCATTAAAATATCGCTCAATTGCATTTTATTTAATGTCTATATTCATAACTAATGATGCCTACAACTGGTATAAACGAGTATTAATTAAAAAAAAAAATGGAAAAAAACACGCGGTGAATTTAAAATGCCAAACTGAAACGCTATTGGCGTGACGTCACCATTTGCCCGTGTGATCAGCTAACCCTTTGGTCAGTCCGACTCAAAATGGTATAGTTTTCGTCATCGTTCTCGGCGTACCAGTATCTCTTTCTATATCTCCACCTCCCTCATACATACACATGCAACCTACCACCCCTGTATTACGTATGAGAGCCGTTCAATCATACTTGTCGGAGTGACAGCGTACTTGACATCGGTGTGCAATTCGAGTTGTCCTGTTATCAATCTTCAATATAAAATTGTACAATGCCCGGAAATACGATCAGCGGTCCCCTGTTACCCACTTCATGCGTACTGGAGAGAGTAGCAGATGCGTTGAAGATTAGGCTGCGCAGTGTTCCCCCCATGGTATCTAGACTCTATCTGTTTACTTACTTCATATGGCGTTGATGACGTAACCGTCAAGAACGGTTACTACAAGTATAGTCGTTTGTTCCCACTGCCATTGAGTGTCAACCCGCAAGGGTATCATGTAAAAAACCTATAAAACGTAAAAAAAAACTATAAGATGTCAACTTGCAGACAAGGTAGTTTTAGGATCGGTGTGAACGTCCATCTATGGAGGAATCACTCAACTAAACTACGCATTATTGGTTGCATACTTTTGTGAGGCTAAGTGATCGTCTTTAGTTTTTATCTCTGAGAAGAAAGTTGGTTGAATAGCAAGATCGCATCTGGATGATTATGTGTATTGGTCTGCATGTGTATAAAATCAGTGATATTTGCTGTGTGAGAAAATCATTACTGAATATATCGAAAATGACGGGTTATTTATGTTGTGCTTTCTGAAGAGAGGTTATGTTCAAAGTTATAAATAACGAAAAACTGAAGAGAATTACGGGAAATCATCACCGCGCCCGCGTTGTGTGTAATTACTGTTAGCTTGTATATGGCTTTTAATTCAACAGTGTACAGTGATTATAATAATTATTTCTTATCTCTCTCATTTTTGAAATTCAGCAATTTTGTATATGTAATTTCCAGAATGGATAAGAAAAAGTGGATGCGCAACTAATTTCTAGCTTTGAATCTCAATTAAGTGTATTTGAGACAAGAACCCAATGTAATTATCATCAACACATACAACTTACAGCTTAGACCTCCAGTAATGCCATCTTAGAAGGAGATTTTACATCACATCAGAGCCAAAGATTGATAACAAGCCTCATGACGTTTAGGAAACACGTACAACTAAGTGCTAAGTTAATATCTTGTAGAATAACCACTTAATGTCAAAAAAAAAACAGCGTAATGTCAAAAAAAATCGGCATAATGTCACTTTTCAAGTTACGTGATACCCCTGCCGCTTTTAAATGTAATTTTCAGTAATACTTTGTAAATAGATGGTATGTCAACAACTCAACAGTGATCTAACCAAAAATACGATCAAATAACAAATCGTGAGTCATGACGTCACTGTGAAGCGCAGCGTTTAAATCAACGTCAATCGCATTGCAGTTTTATGTAAGTGAAATATGTGTTTACGGTATTACATCTACGTGACTAATCGAGATGAAATACAAAAAAAAACATGCATTTTCCCCTATTTTGACTTCAGATTCGTATTTTCCCACTTTTTGTGTACCTGTGATCATGACGCAACTTACCTTTCCTTTTTCGAACATTAGAGCTAGAAGATATGATAAAAGTGCTGTGTATGACAGAATATTACACATCTTGAGGTAAGTAGCTCTTATTTGAGTAAATGAAACAACATTCGTACAGAAGTCATATATCGACAATTTTAAATTCTACAAAATCAATTATTATTCATATAGAAATTGATACACTTCTATTGACTACCAAGAAAGGAACAATCAGAACTGTAATTCTAGTAATTCATGAGTGCATATGTTATTATTAATAGGAAGATTCATGAAATTCTCGTTATACCAGATATACAAGAAAGTGGTCTGGTAAAGTAGACGACAACGATATTGTATATATTTTTTCTGCTTCCTTGTGTTACCGACCCGACATATAGTAGGTCATTTTATGATGCGGTATAAATGATAACGGAATCTGGATCAAATGTATAAATCATGCAATAACCTAAAAAGCCCTAATAGTTTGATACAATTGGTTTGAATGTAGCGAATCTAAAAGAATCGCATTGTTTCGATACTGTCAATGCAACAAGTTCACATAATGTGACTGCGCTATGAAGACCTGAACCCCTCCACCACCCTCCCGAGCGCTGCGCGCAGATGAAACCAGCGCGATGCACAGAGCGGTACTCGCGATGGGGTTCTATGCAGACAATCCAGGTTGATGGAAGACGCGTTGAATAACAATTATATGCGATACGAATTTTTTCCGCCCTTGGAAACGATCTGCTCAGGCAGGTCAGCCGCCCACGGACATCGAAAATTATATGTATACGTACATAGGCGCTATGAATGATGGAAACCCATCTTGCAGCAAAGACTTTTCGGACAGTGATACTGTCAGTGCGCATGATACTGATAGTAGTAACGAGGGTAGCAATGATAGTCAGGAATACCGTCGTATTTCTAATAGAAAGTGCCTGTCTGTTCATGCTCAACAGATTTGCATTATTGTTCATAATGAAATGGGTGATAGCGGCAATAGTAGTGTCCTTAAAAACAGCCGAACTGACTAAAGTGTCATATCCTACAATTTGTAAAATTATTCGTAACGGTGTCATACCAAGAAAAAGAAGAATTGACAAGGGAACATCTATACCTTCAAGTGCAGCAACAACTGCCAAAATAAGAAACATAGTGTATGATAATTATAAACGTAATAAAATTCCCACAGCAGAGATAGTACATCAAGAATTCTTGGAAACAGGCGACAGTTGTTCCCTGCATATATTTCAGAGGTGGCTGCCCCTTCAAATTTGGAGTTACCAACAAGAGATCTACAGGCATGGCATGGCAAGTAAGTGCATAGTGGAATGTCAACAGGCTTACTTAGAAACGATCACAGAATATAGGCAAGAAGGTAGGCCAATATATTACCTGGATGAAACACATGGTACGATACACACGATACAGCAAAATGTCAGTTGATAGGTGTATCACCAAATAAAGGATCCCGGATGGTCATTCTGCATTGTGGCTCAGCAGATGGTTGGGTTCAAAATGCGCTATATTGTTATCTGGCAAGAAAATAGCGGATTGCAAGCTAGACTACCATGAGAATATGGATGCCGAGATATTTAAGGAATGGTGTTCTAACAGATTGCTGCAAAATTTGAAACCCGGAAGTGTCATTCTAATGCATAATGCCAGCTACCATTCCAGACAAATCGCAAAGGTCCCTAATTCCTCGTCCTGCAATAAAGACATTCAAGAATTTCTTGTGGAGCACGATCTCTATTTTGAGGATTCTTATACAAAAAAAGAATTGTTGGAGGTGGTCCGAACAAGAAAAAGGTATGCGGTTGACGAAATGGAAGCTTCTTGTGGACATGTGATCCTACGACTGCCACCTAATTTTTGTATATTTAATCCCATAGAGTCAATATGGGCTTAACTAAAAAGAAGAATAAGCCGAAGGAAGATAAATCCGACTAGTGACGGAACTGCAGCTGACCTAATTAGATCCGAGGCAGTTCAAATCACTGAATTATAATGGAAGAAAACCATCCTACAAATTGAAAATGAATATAATAAAGACTTACGTAAGATTCACCAAATGGGCAACGCGAAGTTCATTATTTAACTGCCAAAGTGAAATGAAATACGTATTTGGTGAATGATCTTGATGTGCGTGATTCTGGAAGAAGGCTCCTCAACATAGCAAACTAGGTAAGTAACTTTACATCCTTGACATCGCTACCATCAGATATATACATATGTATATTTTGGTGAATAGTATGAATTTTCAACTAATGCCGGGATAAGTAATTACAACGTTTCTGCAACAACTTGATTCAGTCATCTCTCATCTCATCCAGACTTGCAAGAGAAAAATTTTTGAAAATTTTCAGATCCGTCTGTCCTCATACCTCCCGTTCTTGGTTTTATAGCCGTTTTATGACTATCGGCAAAAAATGTAAACGAATACAATATTGTTGTCGTCTACTATAACTCTGAAGTTGACTTCGTATAAGGCTGAATCCTTTCTGGAAGCTTTAGTTCGTAATTAAAGTGCTGCTTGTCACATCATCAGAAAATTGTACTACTTGCCCCACGATATGAATATATCCTATTTGCATACAAGTGATTAACATTCTTATAAAGAACTACAAAATGGTTTATAGTTTAGTCGAGGCCTAAGTTCAACCAGCACATCTCCGCACTTGATGCTCTTGAACAAGGCAACTGCTTCTCGATGGAACAAACCTCGGAATGGAGTACCATTTATCGATATTATTTCATCACCTAGAATGGAAAACTAGATTATTCTAATCTTATTTTACACCAAAGAAATTAATTCACTCAATAAATCCAAAATTTTAAGGACAGGGTCGTCCATTGACGCCTCTCAATGGCAGCATCAATAGCCCTATTCGTACAGCTATCGCCAACCTGAAAGAAGAATGCAGTACATACCTTCTTCAACCAGTCCAGAGTCTGCTGCTTGTCCCTGCGGAAATATGGTCTTGACGTATATCCCCATAGGGCCTTTGGGAGAATCTTTACCTCCGACTATGGAGAATCCTAAGGACTTGCATCCGGGCCCTTTGCGAAACACCACGCTTTTGGTTTGTTGTTGATTACTTCTCTTGCTTTGGATATCCCCGTTTCTGTTAATCGTTGGAATCTGGACAGATGATGAACTCATTCGTCTTGCCGCTGAAGAATTTATGTGAGATGCGGCTGCTGTTTCAGATGAATATGAGAATTTCCTCATACCTGTGAAGATTTAACAGTTTTACCACGTTTGATGCCTATAATTCCAATCACTGAGAAGAAATGGGCGTGGTTCTTCTCCTATGGGAATTATCTCAAACTCTGACAAGTTTCTGAATGCATCTATTTTCGACAAACTAATATTCTCCTGGGTTCTTCATAGCAAACGTCCCATCACAACGTTCGTTTAGAAATGAGACTGTTAGACGTCTTTTTCTCCGAGATTGACTCATGAAGCGATTATTCTAAATGTTCAGGAACACAGCTCCCCGGACTGCAAGCAAACCACTCCCACTTCCTCTCAAAGATTCTACTCCCTCATTCCGAGAATTAACCCGGAGAAAGTGCTATCAAAATAAGAACGTAACGAGCTTAAACCGATACGTAACTATGGGGAAAATTTGAAATTATGGGAAGCCTATACAATAGTTTGCCATAGCAACAATCTAATGTAATATAAGCTCCGTACTGTAAGAAAAAGTATACCTGTGCTCTTCTTATCCAGAGTACCCTTGGATGATCCTACATTCGGTTTCTTGAAGACGTGATTCCTGTCTAAAGTTGTTGATGGAGGGTTACTTCTGGGCTTTTCACTGAAAGAAACCGGGCTCACCAAATCATCATTATTAGTTGTCCTTGTTTCTGCCTTTAGGATATCCGATAGCCCGACATATCTACTAGTACTAGCTTTAGATCTGGGCGGCGTCGTTTTTGAATCACCCGATATGTCTTTTTTGGCTGTCGTCACGCTGTATTTCCCACTACGTCTCAATGGAGGAATTTCCACAGGTTTCAAAGGGCTGCGTATGGTGGGCATCTGTTTCTTGGCAGGACTCATCCGTTGTACTTGTGGCAACCTGCACGGTAAATGTCATTTTTGAATAAAGCAAACTGCGATACATGAGATTCCATTTTATTCGAACCGCAAAAAATTAAAGCAGTCGAATATTTGGTATCGAACTTGTTGGCTCACAATGACGTAGCTAGACATCGAAATGCAGGTTGTTTATAAAAGGACTCCTTGAAGCAGTATTAGAATTAGCACTAGCAATAGCATCACCTTTTGGTAGTAGAGTCCTTCGGGGTGTTTTTGGCTGCATACCCAGGTGTCCTTCCAAAACTCTGTCTGTTTCTATCATTTCTATTAAGTTTTGGCCTTGCATCTCTAGGCTGATCATACAGTGGCTTATTTTCCGGTTTTTCTCTTTCTTCATCGAGCTTTAATTTGCTGATCCTCTCACAACAACTGCGACTATCGTCGTTATCACCCTAAAATTAAGACAATTAAAAAATATATCGAAGTCATAACGGTATTAAACATCTTGCCAGTAGTTTTAATTATTTCATCAGCAAATCATTTTTATGTTCTGCAAGAAATACTCAAAGCACCTCGCATTGATCTGAAGCCAAGTTAAGACTTATACAAGGTGAGATCATGTTGGGACTTTCTATTATAGCACGTATAGTCCTTGCAAAAATAAGTTAATCCCAGTAACATACCGGGTGTAACAAATTCAAGGTTACCAATATGAGTACATCAGAACGTAAAATTTTCCAGTCGCGGTGTTAAAGAGGTTCAAGGTTGAATCCAACGTGACTATTGAAATGCTCGTCAAAAGTTTACTTGTTTTTTCTTTATTAATCTGGCTAAGCTTATAATAGAAATATTCCCTCGTCTCGCACATTTGACCTTTATTTGACTTTACAGTGATCTTGATCTTGGGCTTAATGCATGTTCTGACGTACAATGTTTCGTTCTTCCGGTTGCCGGTGTCAAAAAAGGGGCTTTAAAAAAATAAAAAATTACCATGCTCTGAGACTAATTTATTACTTATGTTTTAAATGTTGGGACTTACTGAAAATAAGTTATTCCCAGTAAAACACCGTGTGTAACAAAAATTAAGGTCAGGTATATACTAATTTTGAACAAGAAGTTCATTGGTGTCCTTGAATTTCACCTTAAGCCACATCCTCCAGGCAAATTTTGTTTTATGTATGGAAATCCCTCTTTTATACATCGAAAATCGAAAAAAAGGAAAATATACGTTTGAAAACGTATTAAGAGGTTATCTCTAAAGGTCAAATGAAGGTCAAATATGTGAGGCTAGGGAAAATTCCTACAGGCTTACCAGAATCATTGATGAGAAAATTATGGTTGGTAACTTTAGATAACGATTTCCATATTGACTTTGGATTTGACCTTGAGCCACAGCTTCTAGGTCATAATAGTAAATGAGAAGGTATTACGTAAAAGTTTCCATTGTCGGTATCGGTTTCCAGTTAAAAACAAGTATTGACCTTGCAATGACTTGAATGTGAGGTTCAAGATGAATCCAATGTCACCATTGGAATCCAAAGTGACTAAAGAAACAACAATCCTGTTAATCTTCTAGGAATTTTCACTAGGCTCACAAACTTATAACATTTGAGGTGACCCTGATCTGATAAATATTCGGGTACTTTATGTTTATTTGTTTTATTCGAGAATAATTGTATTTTAAAAATAAACATTATTATTATTATAAAATTCTCCGTTCTTTCGATTGCTGGTGTCAAAAATAATTCACAAAATTTCTTGTAATTAATTAGATATGGGGTCTAAAGAAACACAGTTTCTTGTTATAAAGCTGCCGACGTTTCGGAAAAATGTATTTCCTTCTTGAGGGCACTCCAAAAAAAAAAAAAAAAACGTTGGACCACCACAGAATAAGTTCGTTATAGTTCCTTTTTTTTCTAATAATCGAATAGGGAAAAAAATATTCGTTGTTTAAATACCTATCTAATCATTTTATCTTTATTTTATTTCTATTTTTTTTGTGTGGGAATTGCTATCTTGTTAATGAAATGCGGGGAAATGGCTAATTTTATGTATTTATTAAAATAAGCATCTTTTACTTCGATTTCATTATTTGAATTCTTAACGAATATGTAAAGTTAGTATTTTGTAGTGATGTTCCTCATTTTTTTACTTTTCCGCTGCTGTTCTACCGAACATCAGGTTTAGTTATTTCAAACGTAGTTGTTTATGAAAAGAAAATCCCAACTTTCGGAACTCTGTTATTTTTGAATAGTTGCCATTACCTCTGTCGCCTTGGTTCTTTTAGGCGGTGATAAGAATCGTTTGAAAGATGCAGCTCGTTTCACAAAAGAGTCCCTTTCATCGTCGTCACTTTTCGATCTGACTCTTTTGTGTGGGGTTTTGTATGGGGTTACTGGTTTTATGGTTATTTCTGTTAATGTTATGTCGCCATCATTTTTGCTATCGTTTTCGTTATCGTTGTCTTCTTCTGCTGTGTCAGTGTCGGCTTCGTATACTAAAATATATATTCAAAATTTATACACATTAAAGACATTTTGAGAATAAAAGAGAATCAAGAGGGTTTTGTATTAGTACGCAGAATTGAAAGTTGTGAAAATTTAAAAAGCATGTACTTATGATAACCTGCTGTGAGCATATTCCTAAGTATTTTTTGCAAGATTTGGACAGGTTCAGACCTATCACAGATTATTACTTGCCTACCATCCGCGGTGTCGGTACTTTTGCTGCGTTAACGTTTTTATTAACAGAATTTCATCAGACCTAATTCAACCGTATGAAACAGTAGCCAGGTAACAAGGTTAGGCGATAGTCATAGCTTTTTAATTGTACATTTCGACAAAATTTTAAGCTACTACACTATAATATGGAAGCTCTGAATTCCTATCATAAGGATCACAGATTCGAAAATAGTCGAAACTTGCATTGTAACGTTGTATGTTGCGATATTGGTAAAAATTCGTTATTGGGACCTCAGGAGTAAATAACATGTCTATGAGTGCAAAAAACATCAAACTAGAATTTAAAAATTAAGTTCGATATTCCTTTCCGAAAAAGTGGCAGAACCTCATCCATATTGGTAATGACAGCGACGTAATTTTGATTTAATAATTTTTTCCAAATCCACCAAAAACTATTAATACTAATAAGAGGTATAAACGCAGCCCACGCTGATGTTACCAAAAATGTATCATATATACCGATAGGTCAGCGGATAAAATCAATTTTTTAGTAATATTCATCGATTACCGTTATTCTCGCTAATTTGGGACTTGACAGATCCAATGGGGGAATCGATGCTAGCAGCTTTTGTAGAGTCACTACCTGCAAAAAATATTTTTTAAGATGTGATAAGTTCTGTTCCCAGGTCGATAATTTGTCATGCAATTGATTCATATATCGAAATTGTTCAAAAACTAAGGGCTGTATCCGCGTAACAACGGGGAATTGGCATTTGCACCAATTTTTATGATATACTCGTACATATAATCGTCCATACGATACGCGTGACATAGAATTTTCTGAGTGGTGACACATATGTATATATGAATATACCGAATACGGTTGAAGCTACGAAGACAGGAAAAAAGGGGTACAGCTCCGCATTTAGGTAATTAAGAAAATTTCACCAAGTTCTGCAATTCAGAGTATTTCTGGGGAGAGGCGGAAAAAACTGAATTTTCCCTAAATCGTTTTTATTTTTCCCTGATTTTTTTCTGAAAAAATAAAGTCGATGATTAAGGGCAAGAGTCCTATTATTGATATTCTAATTATGCCATCTAGTAGAGGTGAAATTGCATTCTTAATGTACTTCTTATCCTGAATTACCATCTTAAATAAAGTCAAGAAAAATGAAAACGCTTTTGAAAAAATTCAGTTTCTTTCCGTTTCTCGCAGGCCATTTTCTTAGTTACCTAAATCGTCCTTATTTAACTGACTTGTATCTTTAGCGGTTACCATCCCCGATAGCATTAAATGTTTATTAAATATTTTAAAAAAATGTTTGTTAAATATTTGTAGCGACATATTTTTTAATATTTAATAAATATATTTTTTATATATTTATAAAATATTCATTATAGATATTTGCAGTATATATAATTCATATATTTTTGCGATATTTTTTCTAAATATTCAGAAAATATATGAGGAAAGATTTTCAAATATCAATTTTATATTTTGATGAAATATCTAATATTTTTCGTAAATATGTATGGATTTTCAAGCATAAATCTGAAAATTTTTCATTGGTTATTTTAGCAAAACCTGTAGGAATGCTTATATAAAATTGGGTCTATAAAGAAAATTAATATAATGGTTTAATTTGCTAGAAAAATATTATTAAAAAACATTCTAAGCCTCTTCTGCATCTTGCAAGTCCCCTCGTCTGAAAAAGAAACAAACTAATCATGAAGTATTATTGAATACATAAGCTGCTTTCAAGTGTATTTCTGGGAATATAAAATTCAGTGGAACAATATTGGTGCTGAGCACTGCTGAGTTACTCCGAGCAGCTCAACTGGGTCACTGAAAAGCAGCTCTATAATGCACCTAAAAGGACCCCACATTTTCTGTCTATGATAGTTCGAGATTTGGTTGATTTTTAAGAAAATTAGTTGTTGTCTGTTGTTATGTCTTGATGAAAAATGTACTAATTTGACTATTTTAGTAAGTGAGCTAACTTTTAGCCATAACTATTTTGTGATTTTATATTATAATTCAAGGGACAAAAGTATAGTATTTTTGACTGTTAACATTTTTGAACGACTACGACAAAAATAATAATAATAATTGAGATATTTAAAAAAAGCTTTTTTGATGTTTCTCGATCAAGTTGCGATTATATGCCTTTTCATTGGGATGCTATGAACATAATTTTCGTATCCATTTTCAGACAAATCCATCAATACCAAATAACTGTTACATTTCAAGGCTAATTATTTATGGTCTTGTGAATACCTTTATACTCAGCTGGCACAATAATGTTTACTAGTCAGTTAAATTATGCTATGTAATTATCGAAAAACTTACCCTTTTCCCTTCTCCACAAAAAAACTCTCAAATAATGCACCACTTGGAGGTACACAGGAAGCACGCTATCATAGTGAAAGTCACAGGTAAAATAATAAAAATATACAATGAATATTGTGTAAATATTGGAGATTCAGTATTTTCCCTTAATTGAAAAGTAAATATTTAATGAACATTATAAATGAAATATTGTATTTAAAATATTAAGAAAACAAATATTTAAGTAACATAAAAATATTATTAAATATTAAATAAATATTTAATGAATCGTGCTATTGGGGCAATACCCCAATGGTGAAAGTCGAATTTGAAACCCCCCGTATATTTACATCTGCCACCGTTCAGAAAATTCTGGGACTTATACCATAAATATGTTGACTGTGCACGTTTACTACATCATAAAGAATGCGATTTCTCCTGCATATATATTTTTTTAGAATTGTTAAATGTATTTTACTGTCATTTCCCGTATTTCCAATAGAACAGAAGTTGGTTGATAGGTTTTGAGTATTTCTATAACATATTTCAATCGCATGCGGCCAGGAATAATACTTTATGAGAAAAACATTATGAAAATTCATTTTTTTTAATAAATATCAACAATTCGAAGGTGATATAGGGCTAGCTGTAATGTTACTTAAAGGGAATGAAAATCAGTCGAATCCCCATTGTTCACAGCCGTTCTTCAAAAATCTCTTTGCTTCGCAATATTAATTTGTTTGGTGCTGTGAATTGTGAAATACAACTGACTTGATAATGAAGCACAAGATAGTTAACAAAAGAGAGGGAAGTTAGTTATGACGTGATGACCAAAACACCAGATAGTACATTAAATCGACGAAATAAAATATAAAAAGTAAGATACCTTGGAATATCATAACATTGAAAAGGCTTATAAAAATTACAAGCCAATTCTAATGACCTTTTTTTTTCTTTTGATTCTATACTTTTCACTTATTCTACTTACCATAACCGCTCTCATCAGACCTGAATTTACCATTCAACTTTGGAGATGCGTTCAGAGATGATTTTCTGCTAGGCATTATGAAATTCAACAGACTCGTCAAACTATCAGTTGATGAATTTTTCGGATGCAATCGGATATCGCCTTCATCGTCCGATTTGCTCGATGATCTAAAAAAGTATATCATTTGATGTTCATTAATACCTGCTATCTACTATATTGAGACGCCCTCGTAACTCGAACTTTGTGAGATACCCTAGTACATCGGCTCTAGGGTAACCAGAACATCTGGAGCGTTCGCGGCATCATCAAGAAATATCGACTCCCATCGAGACGAATAGACAGCTACCTAGACAATTTCGATGAAGGCTCGCGTTCTGTCCGGGAGGCTCTTGGTTGGTCGATTTGAAATAGGTACGCAGACGGCAGAAGAGTAGAAGTTGGCGATGAGTCAGCAACAGTGCGAGTTGCGATAGTTTAGTCGACATAGTCATAAATTTGTAATAAATTAGTTCCAAGTATTGTAAGAAAGAAATAAATTAGATTTTAAATAGCAAAAACAGTGTTTTCGTTACCATATTGCTGTTTTTATTGGCCAAACAAATCTTGAAGTAAATAAAATGCAGTTTACAGTGAAACTGTTTTGTTTGTGTGTAGAGTGCAGAATATTCTAAAACGTACCTGGAAAAGAATGATTTTATCCTAGACCTAGTCCTGGACCTCTTTCCTTCTGAAACGCTGCTCAATCTAGACGCCTTGAGGTTCTCCTCTGCGATCTCACCAAATATTTTGTCTAGCTCATCTGGTGACGGTTTCATCAGAATTAAGTAGTCTAGCAGCTGCTGTTGACTTAACTCCAAATTATCAGAGATGCATCTTGCCTTGCGTTTGTATTTCGTTATTTTTTCAGGTTTGTCGCTCATATTTCTGTGTGAAAATTATTTATAGAAGTAATATGTTCAAAAGGTTTATTTTGGTTCCTAACAATTTTTAATCGACTTTCTCTTACCACCTTTCATGAGAATAACAAAAGCATAAAATACGATTTTTATAATCACTGATGAACCTGTATACTATCATTCTAGGATTCATACCACATTCATCATTATTTCAAATAGGTTGAGCACAGAGAAAAGTTTTTAATAAAAAGTCTGCGTTACAGTGATGTATGAGTATATTTATCTTTTTCAGTAAAAAGCAGTAGTGAAAAAAATATTATAATACTGTTTCAAAAATAATACATGAACTCTTACCTGTACATGTCATATATTTTCCTCAAATCTGTCTGCGATAATTTTAAATCTGGAGGATCGTTTTCGCGGTATAGAGAAGTAGTGAATGTGTCGTTGAACGAGTCTGGTGATTTCTGTTTTTTCAAATATGATAAATTTCGCCTTTTACCACTAGCTGTTTTGATTTCCTCTGCGGAGTCACCTCTTTTCAGCTTGCCCCACGTTCTTCCCCAAGCAGAAAGACCTTAAAATTATTTAAAATAGCTTAATTTATAACAAATCAAACTATTTGTTATATCTTAAATAAACAAAAACAGCTATAGTATACTGAACCACACAGGAACACTTTTCAGACATTTGTTATTTGCTAATGGGCCCAAACGACATATCATTTTTCTAATGAGGTAAACAATTTAATGATATCGAAAGGAAACGAGGGTGGGTTGGGGCTAGACGGTCGTCGGCGCTACTTTAAAAGAGGAAAGGATGACTGCGGGTGCATACCAAGGTAAATTTTTATAATAACAGAGTCGGATTTCGCTTAGCGATCTAGAAGTAAATCGTTTCTTATTTTGGTACTCAGCAAGCGATCATTTAGTATTTTTCTCCCATTGTTATTGTTCGTCGATATTGTGTTGTTGAATTGTTGATGCTGTGATTTTTCTTGAGTGCCTTTTTTTATCAAGGCTGATAATGGACAATAAAGGGACATATGCGACCATTTTAATTACGAATGCAGTGAGTTTAATTCATGATGAGGTCAACAATAGTGTGGAGCAGTTCAACTCTATAATCGCAAAATACATTGGGGTAAGCGAATAAATTATTGCAAGAAGAGGTCATACCATGGAAGATGTGCTGCAGCTGTAGTGAGCCACACTACCCAGCGGCCTGTATATGTGGTCTAAGTACATTTGCCTTCTTATCGCTACGATGGAACAAAGACTCAAACGCAAGAACCTTGAAAAGAAACTCAGACCAAAAAAAGCTGATATAAAAATAACTAACAATTCGGATAGCAATTCCAAAGAAAATGAATAGTTTTATGGCGAATTCAATCAAAAACCTGACATTAACTACATTGATTTGGATGTTGCTAAGCGAAAATTTTTCGGGAAACTTGAAAAAAGTGACGACGAGATTTTGCAGATCGAACAAGTCACCAAATTACAGGACTGTACTTTGTCGCGCCTTCATCGGAGGATAAGGTTGACCGCGTTTCGATTTGGAGAAGTTTGTAGAAGAAGGCAGACAACAAGCTGTAAAGTTCAAGTAAACTCCATCATATACCCAACAGAGTTTTCTAGTAACGCAATAAAAAAAGCAATACAAAAATCATTGGACACCGCAGTTCAGTCTTGTGGTTTGTTTATTGATCGCACACATCCATTTCTGGCAGCATCGCCTCCATCTACCTATTAGAGTAGACAAGAAATGTATAATCCAGGTATAAGCCTACCTGTTTATTGCTTTGCAAAAACTACCTAACTGTTTCCTCTTATATTATAAGATATTCTTATGACTCTCATTCAATTGTTACCATGTACCACATGACCCTTGTAAACATAATTGTGTTTACTGACATGAATAAACGAATTGTAATTTGAGTTCTTGAATTTATCTTAGGAAAGATATCAAATTATTTGAATACATTATTTCTGAGTCGGAACGCACCGTCGCGTCGCTTGTACTGGCAGGACGAAACAGTAGACGAATTTCGCCCAAAAATCGATTTGCACTTCACAGCTTACGTTTCATTTTTTATTATTTCCAAATGAAACTCTTCCAGCATGCTAAAAACAAAGTCCACAGGGTGCTAACGATCCACTTTTTCGATTTATCCACTAGGATCTTTTTAAAATATCAAGTTTAAGCATTTCAACCCACCATAATTCTTGCTTATATCCAGAAAAACATCACAAACTGCAGAACACAAATTGAACGTAACGGCGAAATGGGTACATTTCACGGGTCATGAAATTCAAATGAAAATGCAAGTATAAAATCTACCAAATTATCGTTCTCAAAAACATATTTCCTTGACATATCGATAATTTTAAAGTGCAACGCTAAATTCACCGATACTTGACTGGAGTGATATCCGAATTCATTCTTCCCTACTGTCGGCAGTTGCAGATAGATCTGTTGGCTCTTGGTGTCAAATCTATAGAGCAGGTACCGATTTTTTCAAATCGTGAGCACATTATTCGTCGGATTCTCGTTACTTAAATTTCCTGTAATCACTGGGATCAGAAGCTTCTTAATAATAGAACGTGTTTCACTGATATCAAAGATGAAACATTCAGAATCACCTTCCCCCAACCCCCACTTTTTAAGCAGTACCATTTTTTTTGTCAAGGATAGGGACCCCTGTAACGTCAAAAACGGAGTTTCAGCAATTGTTACTTTTTCTTTTTTGCCTATAGCACCGTTGCCACTGGACTAAAACTACAAAGCTTTGGCACACTAGTAACCCCGTATGGAAATTTCATAAAAATCCGAGCGGTTATTTCCAAGTTGATGAGTTTTTCATATGACTTAAAAAAACATAACATCTCATTTTAGAAATTATTCGCGATTACAATACTTCCTCGACCATGACGTGGGAAGTAAAACGGCTTTAAAATCGAGGAGTATCAGCGATCGCGATTATGAGTACCTATTTGCATAACGTCTTATCTACGGGATATTATATGAAATAGGGCCACCAAATTATCTTAACACGTCCTTTCTTAGTCCGTACATTGCGCCGCAACGCTTGGGTTGGCAGCACGAAACAGTAGACAAAATTCGTCCAAAATACGATTTGTAGAGGTTTGCGCGCTTCGAAATTGACGCTTTATTTTTTGATATTTTTGGATGAAATTTTCACAAAGTGCTGAAAGCAAAACCCCACAGGGTGCTATAGAGCCACTTTTTCATTTTCTTCACTAGGTTCTTTTTAAAAAATCGCGTAGTTGAACAGAAAAAGTACGTACTTCAACCCATCATAAAACTTGAGCAAAAAAACGTATTTTCGTTGTATTTCCTCAGTTTGCAATATTTCAGTATAAAAAGGCGTACAAAGTTGGCTCGCCAAAATAAGAAGAAAAGATACATGCTAAATATTTCAACTTTTACTCCCTACTGAATGGGGCTGTCGCAAATGTTTGTTTCGGAAGTTGTTGCACTCAGTATACAAGTGGTGGCACACGCGCTAAGGAATACCTCAGTACCAAATGTCGGGTGCCGAATATCCGCCAACGGGCCACTTTATGCCTATTTAACATCGTTTACAAACAAAAAGAAGGTGGTAGTCAAGGAGCAGTCGACCGAGGAGGTATCACCATCTAGCTTTTTCCAGAGTGTCTTAAAAATGTTCCACACTCACACAAGCTATGCAGCCGGTTTTCCCCTTTTTCTTCTTCCTCTTCTCATCCTAAATAGAATAAATAATCATTCGAGCACTAAAAACTCTTAAAAAAGAGGCTAAGCTCCTTAAGCAGCCGCGGTCCTCCGGTATTTAGGTTTCTACCTGCGCGGCTGCTCCGGTGTAAAGAAACCTATGCCCTAAAATGATCCCCTGAATTCTAAAAAATAGCAAAGATACCGTATGATAATCTCTAAACCCTTTTTCATTTGTTTCACTTTTATATGCCTCCATTGTCGAGAAAACTATCCGAAGTATTTACTATTTTACTAGTGACTAGCACAGCTTAGGTATACTTGAAACTGTAAGAAATTTTATGAAATTCAAGGGCAGTTATCTAAAAATGGCAATCTAGCTTTAATCGATAAGCTTAATCACAATATCGCAGCGTGTGTAATTAGAGAATTTTATTTAATATGCAAGTATCACGGTAGCCAATTAGCTTAATTACTCACCTCCACTTCCTTGAATTAACAAACGACACTACCGATTAATGATTAATTGCACACAAAGAAATTATGATTTAAATAATTTCATGTATCAAAAACCGCGTTAACAAATATAGTCATCAGAATCAGAATCGTTCTTGTCGACACACATTCTGCAACTTACAAAATGAACAAGAAGCATCTTTCCCATAAATGCAAATTGTTACACCATCCTGTATACAATGCACGACAAAGTTATGAGTGGTAATAGATTTTGGGTGTAATCGTAGCCAAATAGCGGAAACAGAAGTTTTTGGTGATACTAGGGTAAAGCATTGTATAAAAAGCTTTTGGTGATGACTGAAACAAAGGGAGTATTTGTTAAAAAAAACTTACCACCAGACAATTCAAGTATGAAAATTTCAGTGCAAATATTACACAAATTGTTACATAAATGCAAATTGTTACACCATCCTGTATACAATGCACGACAAAGTTATGAGGGGTAATAGATTTTGGGTGAAATCGTAGCCAAATAGCGGAAACAGAAGTTTTTGGTGATACTAGGGTAAAGCATTGTATAAAAAGCTTTTGGTGATGACTGAAACAAAGGGAGTATTTGTTAAAAAAAACTTACCACCAGACAATTCAAGTATGAAAATTTCAGTGCAAATATTACACAACTCACAACAGCGTCATATCAGGCACATAATTAATAGTAATATACGAATACCCCAAATTCAGAAAGTTAAAACATAAAAAAGTTATTAATATCTCAGCCATGCATTTTATAGAAAAATTCCGAATGAAATTGAACAAATCTTCAGGATCTGTCTTGAAAAAATAAACTCAATACTCCCAGATCGAAAATCAATGTTATTAGATATAAAAGATGCTTATAATAATATATTGTGAATATAATATATAGAATTTATAAACAAATACATTCATTTGTAAACTAATTTTAAAATATTTACATATTGTTATTTTGTTAGCCCACGAACGAGGTAGGGTGAATGTGCCACTGGTCGGACTGTTTAGACAAAAGTGAAATACAAAATTGTTATTACGAATTTTTTGTTCAAGATAACACAACTAATGCTTATGGAGGTGATCATAAATGCTGTTAACTTTGCGCGGACCAACAAATGCATTGCTTGTAGTGTAGATATTCCTGTAATTTTGTAAAAAAATGTTAATCAAAAAGTTGCTGTTTTGCCAGTACTCGGACAGAAGGTGCTACTAGTCGGCAGGCTAGCTTCCAATTGTCGGACAGCATTTGATTGGCTAGTTTTAGACAGAACCGTATTTGAAAATTTGTGATAGTGGAATAGAAATTTCAAATCAGCTGTCATTAAGACTTTGAGGACAAGAAATTAAACACACTCATTCCATTGAATATAGGTA